TGGACGATTCAGACTCTTGAGGACATGCTTTGGGTGTGTTTTAGATTTCGGTGGTAGTTGCGATACGTATCTTCTGTTAGCGGAATTTTTGTATAACAACATTTACCACGCCAACATTGACCGCCCTCCTTTCGAGATGCTCTACCGGAGGAAGTGTAGGACCCTGATTTGTTGGGGCGAGGTCGGTCAGCGACTCATCAGGAGCACTAAAGTGGTTCTCAAGGCCACAAAGTTGATCCAATAGGTTCGTGGTAGACTGCACACTGCGCAGAGTAGGCAGGAGAGTTTCGCCGACAGGAGGCGTTCGGACTTGGAGTTTCAGGTGAGCAATATGGTCCTCCTGAAGGTATCACCCTGGAAGGGTTTTATCAGGTTCCAGAAGAAGGGCAAGTTGGGCCCCAGGTTGATTGGTCCTTTTAGGGTTTTGGCCCGAGTGGGTCGGGTTGCTTATCGGTTGAATCTTCCAGCAAAGCTTGGCCAGATCCACAACACCTTCCATGTTTCTCAGTTGAGGAAGTGCTTGGTGGATGAGTCATCAGGTGTGCCCTTGGAGGATATTCAGGTTGATAGCGGCCTAAATTATATTAAGAGACCAGTTGCGATCTTAGATAAAAAGATGAAGACTTTGAGGTACACGGTGGTTCAGTTAGTGAAGGTACAGTGGCAGCACCGGAAGGGTTCCGAGTGGACATGGGAGACCGAAGAAGAGATGAGGAAGCACTATCTAGAGTTGTTTTCAGTTTCATCAGCAGCAGACTTCGAGGACGAAGTCTAAAATAAGTGGGCGAAAATTGTAACCCCCCCCCCCCCGATCCTTAGGTATGGTTTAAATAAGATTTCTTGGGTTAAGGCCTACTCGACGAGTTGGTTGCCCTACTTGTCGAGTACCAGTAGGGTGGGATCGCGTGATAAGTGACCTACTCGACGAGTCCATATTGGGACTCAACGAGTAGGAGGTTGCAGATGAAACCCTAAATCTCGGGGTTTTACAGCCTATTTAAAGGAACCTCAGCCTCCTTTGGGCCTCTTTATAGTTCTAGAAAGCTTTTGTGAGACCCTAATCCATGTGTGTGTGCCCCTTTGTGTGTTGAAGCTTGAAAAGAGGATCTTTGGAGGGAGAAGGCTTGGAGGAGAAGGAGATTGGAGCAAGTTGAGTGTGGGAATCAACACTTGTCTCAGTTATCATCTTCTACAGGTACCTAAATCACCATTTCCTTGTAAATATTTTCTATTGGTTGAGTTATAGGGTTTCTGTTATGGAATGTTAAGTTGATAAGATGAGCTATGGGGTAGATCTGAAGTTGTAACTCCAGATCTGGACCCTCCTTGGGTCCTAGAAGCATAAAGTTGCAGTATTGGTCATGATTGAGGTCCCTCTTGAGCATGAAGCTCCATGAAGAACTTAAAATAGACATTTAGAGCCTTTATAGCCATGCATGCACGTAAAGTTTGCAACTTTACATGAAAAGCATGCCCTAGAAGCTTGGATCTGTAATTTGGAGCCGTTGCATGGCTCAAATCAAGTATGTATGGAAAAAGTACTGAATGAAATCGGGGACTCGTAAGGTTGACTCGGCGAGTCATATGAAAAATAGTCATGGACTCGACGAGTCGGATGAGTTACTTGGCGAGTCCGATGAAGATTGTCATAGACTCGGCGAGTTGTATGAAAAACTCGGCGAGTCGGATGAGTTTTCCCCAAGTTGTGAATGTGTTTGTATCCGTCGTGTTGCTAGAGGAAACCCGAAAAGTAGCCTTAAGAGTTCGATCGAAAACCGTAAGAACTTGGTGAGTCACCTCGGTGACTCGACGAGTGCAAAGGAGTTTCAAGGAACTTGACGAGTAGCTTCGGGTACTCGGGGAGTTATGGTCAACATGGATGGAAGACATTTAATAAGGAGTTTAACTTAATCAGGGGTAAAATGGTCATTATACCCTTAGTTCAGTTATCGGTATCTGATTTAGTGTTTATGGAAATTGTAGCCCGAGAGTCCCGGAGTAGCAGTCATCCAACTTCGAATTTAGCATCTTAGCAGCTAGAGTTACGAGGTGAGTTTTCCTTCCAGTAGTAACGGGTCTACGACCACAATGTCGGCCCATTTAGATAGTAGTTCCTGACTTTGGTTCGAAGCCTGGAGGGTCCCAAGAAGTAGATATGTATGCTTGATGTCTTCGTGATTCATGCATGTTATGTTCGGTTATGTTATGTGTTATATGTTCCAGATATTGGTCTGATGTCGGTCGGGTCCCGGTAGAATATATGTTATAAGATATATGATTATTCTATGCTAGATAGTTTCAGACTTTGGTCCGATGCCGAGCGGGGCCCGATGCAGTGGGTTGGGCCGAAATTATTCTAGACTTCGGTCTGATACCGGGCAGGGCCTGATGTAGTGGGCGGGGCCCAAATTATTTCAAACTTCGGTCTGATGCCGGGTGGGGCCCAAATTATTCCAGACTTCTGTCCGATGCCGGGAGGGTCCCAAATTATTCTGGAATTCGGTCCGATGCCGGGCGGGGCCCAGTATTTGCTTATATGCCATTGTATGGTATGTGGTAGTTTGGGGGAGCTCACTAAGCTTCATGCTTACAGTTTCAGTTTTTGATTTCAGGTACTTCCGGTAGTAAGGGGAAGAGCTCGGGATGATAGCATCGCACACACCACAGCTTCAACTTTTTATCCTGGGAGTTTTCATCAGAAACTATGATATGTTTTGATACAGTTGTTATGTTACATTTGTTATGACCTTTTGGGATACTTGTTCCACGGTTTTTGTTGATATGTTATTGATGATGTGATTTTTAGTATTATTACAACAAAAATTTTGGGTTGTATTTTGGGACGTTACACGAAGATCCCGAGAAAAAGAGTTTTCGAGCCGAAACTCTGCCCGTGTGAAGCCTGGTTTTTGAGGAAACATCCCGGTTTCATCAAAGAATATTGTTTTAAGGGATGAAGCATTGTCCAATTGTCGTCTTATCAAGTTAGTGTATAGTCACTTTCATCTTACACATGGATATGAAGTATTTTATATAAAATACGTGCTATGTGTATATATGCTATTCGTTTATTTTAGATCCATGTTGAAAGAATGTTTTATATAGGTTTTAAATTGATGTGTATTTTATTTCTACAAATATGTTGGGTAAAACATGGGTATATAAAGAATGAGAGATGAAAGATGATATAGATTTTATTTGCAGTTGCGCCTAATAAATAACATTTGCAACTGTGCCCAATAGGAAATAAAATATGTTATTTGCAGCTGCGTCTAATAAATAACATTGGCAGTTGTGCTAATTAGAAAATAAATGATGTTGTTGGCAGCCGCGCCTAATATATAACATTGGCAGCTGTGCCATAGGCACAGATGGACTTCGTGCCTATTCCTTTGGTTAATCCTGAGGAACGAATGAACGAGGAAAAGTTGATTTCCTAGGGTGGATCCTTAAGAATAAAGAGGAAAATGGGGATGGGGAATTGGGTTGATTGTTTGATGTTTAAACATAATAAATTTATTTATTGTGGGTTGATAAGTTTATTGCTAGTTGATGAAATTAATAAATTTATTGTTGGTTGATGAAAATTAATAAATTTATTATTTGTTTGTTGAAAACCCTATATGCTCACCAGGCTCCCAAGCATGACCTACTCAGTTTCTTGTATTATAAGTTGTGGCAAGAGCATAGTTGGATGACTTGGCGAGAGATTTTGGATTATAGGCCAGTAGATGTAAATATCTTTTGTAAGGCCTATATTGTACACTTTATGCTTTTGATCTGTATTGAACATGACATCCCGAGGTTTTAATAAAATGAAATGCATTTCTTCGAAAATGCTTTGATAAACCTTTATCATGTTTTGTCTTGGACACAAATTTTGCAACACCTTTTGAATGATTACTCTGATTTTATTTTAAAAGAATAAACGAAATCGGTATTTTATGGCCGAGAAATTTGGGGATGTCACACGTATTAGGTCAAAATGATAAAGAAATGTACCATTTAATCATGTTTGCAAAACATTTCTTGGTGGCAGCATCATTTGCCTTGCATCATTTAGTGATTCCCGAAACGTAGTTAAGACAAGAAGTAGAAAAGAGATGCTTGTGAGGTAAAGAAAATAAGCAATTCTGAACATTTTTACCCTCTCTATCACTTTGATGAAAAGCTACACTCCAATTGTCCTTTTGAATTCTTTCGAGCTTCATCTTCGTGACATCACTCGTAGTTTCTTTTGGTTCCACCGTGGGTTTCTTTAAGAGTACTATCGCAATCTTAACATCCATTTTACAAACATCTTGGATGTCCGAGATCCACATCCTTTTCAAATGCGCCAAAATAGGTTCGAATTTCTAATCCTCCTTTAACAAGAGATGGAACAAAGAAATCCAGTACTATGGGTTCAGGCACCGCAAGTCTGCAAGCATAAATTAAAAAACAGAGCTCTTTGCTCCACAGACAACTTTGAATTTAGCATTGATAAAGCTTTCCATTTCAATCGGCCCGATGACTTTCATAATTGTAATTTTCATTGAACTCCAGGTTCGATACTGAGGCTTAACGTGCTTGAGGTAAAATGAGAAAAGCATTTGATTAACATCATTGTCCGAAAACAGAGCTTTCTCGATCTTTTCAAAACTACGAAAGAAGAATGCCTTCAGAGTTATTGGTAGGTCAACCTACGAATCCAAAGTTTTTTCTAGATCAAACGAAAAAAAATAGCTCCAACCAGTAAGTATTTGGATTGTCAATAGCTTCATTCATGATTCACTCAATGGACCAGTGAGGGAAAAGAGACTTTTGGGTTTACAAAGTGACTTGAGCTTCACGGGCGTCCTTTTCCCTAGCTTCAGCTTATTTTGCAACATGAAGGTTTTCATCAATCTCTTGATCACGTTTCTTCTATTTAATCTTAGCCCCTTTAAACAGATCTTCATCATCATCATTATCATCAGTCATCTTTCCTTCGCCTTTTGATCGCGAAGCTTCATTACCCTTCAGATCTTTTGACTTCGGAGGCTTTTATGTTCGAATTCACCAGTTTCACCAGTTGTTTGCTTGGGTTGATCATCAGAGGGCTTCTTAAATCTTTTGACTTTGGAGATGCCCACATTACCCATCTGGTAAAACATCTACAAAAAAGCAGATGAAGATATGGAATACGAATAAATCAGATCTCTAGCTTAAGAAAACCCTAGAAATCGACTAAATCGGGACTTAGTAATGGAGGTTTTGTGAGATTCGATTTTAAAATTAATCAGAGACTCACCTTCCTGATAACTTGTGGTGCAAAATACCTTGGATAAATGAACCAAGGGGAATTTCTCTGCTATGGTAAGGGTCGGAGCCAAAGGAGAGTGGCGAAGGTACTTAACCATCGGCTGGAGAGAGACAACGTATTTGGCTGAATCGAGGTCCAAGATGAGATTTTGGTTGGCGTTAATGTTCAGTAGCCCCGATAAAGTGGTTTGGTCTTCCACAGATGGAGTTTCAGAAGAACCGGCCATGGATGCAGATGGAGAAGATGAACAATGTTTGAGAGAAAAAGGGTTTTTCTTGAGAGATTTTTAACGTGGTGAAGAAGGAAATCGTCATTTTTCCTTATATACGTTATGGTTGGAGAGAGAAAGCCAACTGTAAGACTATTCATTTTCCTGAAAAGTCGCTTGAATAAGTGTGACTGACAAGCTTGATGTCAGGTAGCGTAACTAAAAAAGCGTGATGTCAGGAAAATTTGAAAAGCACGTGCCCAATTTTGAAATCATATCTCTTTAGAACCGTTGTTTCAATTCTGCATATTCACAATTCAACATCATTCACCATAACCTGTTCTCGGAATTGAAAGTAATCATTTGGAGGTTAGAACCAAACTTTTGGAAAATCACAAGGATTTTTGTGCAAGAGTTTGCCAAAGATAAATAAATAACACAAAGTATATTTGGGATTCTATGATATCAATATAAAATTAACATAAAATCAGATGATCCCGGACAATGATCTCTTCCTTCGGAGTCAAGAAAGACTCGGAATTGCTTGCATGGATTCCCGTTGAATTAAGATTATCTATTTGTTGAGAAATATTGAAAGGATTCTTTTCATTAGGCTTTAATGGGTGGCTTTTCTTCAACCAAACTACAAAACTAAACATAAGTCCAAGAGTATGGAAGAAGTACTTGTCTGACTAGTATCGCCATAATAACAAGTATGCTTTGGAGTTGACAAGTTTGAAATCTCAAGAAAAAATTAAAAATTAGATCTATTGGGAAGAAATGTCTTAGGTTGAGAGCATTCCATTAAGATCTTCGCAAAAATAAAAATGATGAGATTTCAAGGTACAAACCACAAGGGTTGATTTTTGTCAATTCCACAGTGATAAACTAGAACTTATTAATTGTTCACCGTCAATACATAACAAATATTCAGATTTTTTGTTTCACTCAAATCGTGGTGATAACAATTTGAAGATCCTAAACACAAAATTATTGTAACTATAAACCTTAGTGGTAATTTATAAGAGTCTCAGGGGTTACGAATGTGAATGTGAAGGTAATGGAGAAAAGATAAGGTGGCTCCAAAGATAAAAATGTACCTCTGCTATATTGCGAATGACTAAGCAGTCAACTCGTAACTCAATATGAGAAGAGTAAGGTAGTTCAATGACTTATGTGAATATTAGTCTGATTAGGAAGAAACATTCGGAGTGAAAGTTTGATTAAGGCTTTAACATAGAGTCTTAGAGGCTTTGGTCAACATGCTTCTAGGGACACTTAGCTAGTATATAGAATCAGAGTTATATACCTATCCTATCAATCCTAATTAAGATGACAAAATAGTACCTAAGATAAAAAAAACTTGAAAACATAACACACAAATAAACAAAACACAAATATTGTTGGAATTTTTGATTTTCTGAAAGCATAAAAATGAAAGAAAAAAAATTAAAACAAAAAGTACAATATTTTTGTATTTTGAAATTTTTCTGAAAAAGAAACAAAAAAAAGAAAAGGAAAATATGTTTGTATTTGAAATTTTTTCTGAAAAATAAATAAAAACAGAATGTAAAATATCGAAAACACATAATGTACAAAGGATACATGATGTTCCGAGTCCCAGATGAACAGTGGACTCCGAGTCGGTGCGAACACTCAGACCTGTTCGGAGTATAAACAGTGACTTGCGAATACCTCTGAGGGTTCGGACCGATTCAGAACTTAAGTGATGCATTCTGATTACAAAGATGGTTTTGGAACAGATTCTACTTCTATCATTCCTAAGCCTTGTATATTTCGATTGAAGGTTGTTTCAGGTAAGTCTTTTGTGAAGATATTAGGTAAGGAGTGATTGAGAATCTTTTGTTAATCAATGAGAGATTCTGAGTAAAGCATGCGATTCTGATCGCATCAACCTAGAAATAGAGTGGTAAGTTCGCAAATGAAAGCATGGTCCTCGCAGCTTCGCAAAGAGATCAGTTTCATCTTTCAATGGCTCCATTCTGCTGAGTAGTGTAAGGATCAGAGAAGTGGTGAGCAACTCCCTTTTCAGTAAAGAATTCTTTAAACACTTGGTTTTTGAATTCAGAACCGTTATCACTGTGAACTGGCTTTTGCAATTGATGTTCGATTATCTTGATAAAATCCTTTAGCCTCAAGGTAGCCTCGAATTTCTGTTTGAGAAAGTAAAACCAAGTAAATCGAGAAAAAGCATCTACAATAACTGAAATATACTTGTTACCACTAAAACTCTCAATGGAAGATGGGCCACAAATTTCAATGTGTAGGAGTTCAAGACGTTCGATAATTTGGTATTGATAATTGTGGAGTGACTCTTCTGAATTTTCTTTCCAAGTTCACAACCTGCACAGAGATGTTCTTTGTCATACTTTAGAAGAGGGAGACCTCACACAAGGTCGCCAAGTACGATTTTGTTGATGTCCTTGAAATTTAAATGTGAGAGCTTTCGGTGCCAAAGCCAACTATTATCCGAAGATTCTATCGATGGCTTCTCGACTATTGGTTTAATGTTCAAAGGAAACATCTCTCTCTTTCTTTTGGATTTTAAAAGCACCGCCTTTTTCTTCTTCTCAATTATTTTAGATCCTTCATCATCAAAAGAAACCTTGAGCCTTGTACCTACAACCAATTGAGAAACGCTTATTACGTTGTGTTGCAGTCCTTCTACGTAGGCTACCTTCTGAATTGTGAGTTCGCCATTCGTGATCATGCCATATCATCTGATATATCCTGTAGTGTTATTTCCATACTTGACTTTGCCACCATCCTTCAATGTTCAGAATTCCTTGAGCTCTTCCCTCCTCCCTATCAGGTGACGCGAATAGCCATTGTCGATGTCCCATTTAGACTCATACTATTCGTCACGAATTATCTACGAAAATTAGAGAGAATTAGGAACCCAAAGTTGCTTGGATCCGTGTGAGGTTTTCTTGAGAACATGAAATGTTAATGATTCATCTACTAAATAAGATCTCTTTATTAATGTAGAATTCTCTCCTTTCATTACTTTGAAAACAATAATCATTTCATCATTGGGATTTCTTTTAAAAGGATTGTTTGTTTATTTTGAAGTGAGTTGTTGCTTGACAACCTTTTTAACAATTTTATTTTCCTCCATTTTCAACTGAGCTTCAGAATCTTTGGAAGAGATTTTGGGTTCCGAAACTAGTTTGCCTTTGCTTTTAACATCTTTTGATGCATTGGCAGTTTTTGAAAAATTTGATTTAGGAGAAATTTTTGGTTTATCCTTTTCAAATGGTTTCGAAACTTGAGGTTTTGCATAATTTTTTGGTTTCGCAACTGATTTTGTAATCGAAGGTTTTGCCACCCGTTTCAGAACAAAATTTGGTGTCGAACTCCGAACAGGAATAGATTTCACATTACAAACCGAAGATCTTACTGAATGAACAATATTATAATAAGAATAATGACTTTTCCAGAATTGTTTCCTAACTTGTTGATTTTTCTTGTATCTACTCTTCATTTGCCTTTTCCTAGCTCTTATTTCTTTAGCAGACAAATGAACCTTAGTTCTAGGATTTTTCCTTTCGGATCTTAGGACAGGATGGTTTAGAAGAGGTTTCACATGGGACATCTTTGGTGCCACCATGACTAGCCTGATTGCTATAGGGATTGAAAAAATTGATGGGATTTGAGGCGTATCTGACTTTCGTCTTCCAGGTCAATTCGGATAGACCGCTTATCTCATCTGCATTGTCTATCGGACCATCCCTGAAAATTCAGGATAACCATCAGTATTATCATCATTTATGATGGTGGTAAGTTCTGAAGTATCTTTTGTATCCAGTCCACTTGTTACGAACACTTGGTTCGGAACTGTTTTGACATTCGTAAAAATGGCAGCCTTTTCTTTTAAAACACATGAACCTTGGTTTTCAACAGTTCGAACATATTTAATAGATTTTTTAGAAATTAACTTATTCTTAGGTTCAGATTCATTTTGAACAAAAGATGAACAATCAATCTCATCCTCTATAGAAATTTCACTCATGTCGCTCTCATCAAATTCAGAAACATTGTTAGCATCAAAAGTGTTTTCTGAACTCAATTTTGTGCACAATGAGTCAAATTTTTGCATAGTATCACATTTAATTTTATCTTTATTTTTTTCATCCAAAACTTATTTTAACATGTTCTTATGGTCTTTGGATTGTATGTAGGCCTCAATTTTGTTAAGTCCAAATAGATATGCATTTGAAACCTCTTCGTAAGAGACTATGGACTCACACTTGTAGCACTCTGCATCGAGTTCATCCTCTTTCAGTTCGAGAAAGGGGAAAAATTATTTTGTGTATCTTTTTGCCTATTTTACAGTCAAGATGCAGTTACGTAACGATAAAATATAATCGTTTCGCAATCAAACAAAAAATATTCCGTTGTTTTAAAAGCACTAAATTGTAAATGACATCATCCCTAGTCCTAGTCAACTCTAACTCCAACTTCTCTATCCAAATTTATCACACCCCGAAACCGATGGCAGAAACATTCCAGGGCGGAGTGACGTCATGCGTAGTATCACACAATTGTATCATAACAAGCAAAGTTGACTCAACCAAACATTGAATACATACATGAAAAAGGTTTACATTGTTTAATACATAGCTTTATTCATATCAAAAGTAAAGACGTGACTCTAATGCTCCATCTTCTCTGAACTCCTGGAAGTACCTGTCTATTGATGCCCTGAGAATACAAGCAGTTTTAAAAATATCAGCATAAAGCTGGTGAGTTCATAAGCGTGTTTTTGTGTGTTAAACACTAGTCACTGAATTTGTATAAATGGTTTCTTTTCCTTATAAGTAAATGTCGTTTGTATCGAAACCCCTTATTAACAAGTTTTGGAATATATATATATATATATATATATATATATATATATATATATATATATATATATATATATATATATATATATATATATATATATATATATGCTTGCCAAGAAAATCCAATATTTCCTAACATGTTTGCTGTTT